ACTGATTAATCAGTTGAACATGAATGGGCGCAACATCAACATTTCATTGCGAACTATGGGAAATGAATCAATTGTGAATACACGCATTGTGACTGGTTTGGAGGTCAGCAACTTGAACACCAACCAATTTGTGGAACTTTCTGAGGTTTATTCACAAAAGGAAATTCCTGTAACTAAGGACAACATTCCCCGCCAAGAGGATATTGATGGTTGGCCCCACCTAAAGGAGGTGAAAGTTCCCACTATCCAAGCAGAAGTCGGATTGCTTATTGGAGCAAATGTTCCCAAAGCTATGGAACCATTGCAAGTAATTAACAGTGTGGACAAAGGACCGTATGCAGTAAAGACAATCTTGGGCTGGACGGTAAATGGACCGCTTAGAGGCCAAATGGACATGCCGAGCGACACATTGACAGGAATTACTACAAACCGGATCTCAGTGGCTAAACTAGAGGAAATCTGGCAACTGCAGTTCAAACAGGACTTTCCTGATGCTGGACAAAGTGAAACCATGGAGATGTCCAAGGACGATCATCAGTTTATGAGAATGGTGTCTCAATCTGTGAAATTGGAAGATGGTCATTATAGCATTTGCCTCCCAGTGAAGGAGACGTCTATAAAGATGCCAAACAACAGAGTAGTTGCAGCGCAACGTGCACTGAATTTACGCAAGAGGTTTTTAAAGGACATTAAGTTTCATGGAGAGTATGTTGGATTTATCAATGATCTGCTCAAGAGAGGCTTTGCAGTGAAACTTGACAGTAATACCTGTGGCCCAGAGGGAAGAACATGGTATCTTCNTGTTGAGGCCATGTTTCACCAAGTTAGAGTCTGCAATGAGGACACAGATCTCCTTAGGTTTCTCTGGTGGCCTGAGGGGAACTATGACATGGATCTGGTAGAACACAAGATGTTAGTGCACATTTTTGGTGCAACGTCATCACCAAGCGTTGCTACCTATGCACTTCAAAGGTGTGCTACAGATTTTGCCGATGGATTTACTGAGGAGACGGTCAAAACAGTGCAGAAAATTTTTTACGTAGATGACTGTCTTAAGTCAGTTTCTGATGAAGATAAAGCCATCACACTATGTGCTGAGTTAAGAAGCATGTTGAAAAATGGAGGTTTTCGACTGACCAAATGGTCAAGTAACAACAGGAAGGTGCTCAGTTCAATTCCAGAAGAGGAAAAGGCACAAGGATTTAAAAGTCTGGAC